ATGCGCTTAAACGTATGTTATATATGTCTATATCAAAATAGCATTAAAAGACAACAAAAAGCAATCAAACAACAATGTTAATTTTATGATCATAAAGAAAATCTTTGTTGGCCATATACAAGTCAAAATTCTTCTTGAAGTTGGAAACAGTATCTGATTCAACAACGCATGTCGGTAAATTGTTCCAAATATAAATCACTCTGTTAGAAAACGAATACTTCCTTGTATTTGTATGGAACTTTTGAATATGTCTTCTATAGCGATGCCCTCTTGTTGAAAATCATTAATATGTCTTCACGAACTCTTCTAAATATTAAAGTTGGCAAGCCAAGAAACTTCAATCGATCCAAGTAACAAAGGCCTTTGCAATCCCTGACCATCTTGATTGCCCATTCCTGAACCCGTTCCAATTTGTCAATTTCCTTTATTTTCCAAGGAGACCATACACTGACACCATATTCAAACTTTGACCTAATTAAAATTTATAAATCAAAGCAAATGACTCTTTAGTTAAATTTTTAAAGTTTCTGTATAAAAATTATAAAAGAACAAAACATTTATTAATGACATGATGTATATACTTAAAGAAGCTCAGTGAAGTTCAAACAAAACTCCCAAATCGTTTACTTCACCACCGTTTGATTAGAGACATGTTCAGAATTATATTACAAGTATAAACCGAAAAATTAACAAAATATCAATGGTAAAATTATATGAAACACACCAGTTATAACAGATAGAAGCAAACTGTTCAGATATTATTGTCCAAACTGAAACCAAAAATGTATACCTTTTAACAGATATATCTGTTCCAGACGATTTAAATGTTTTTCAAAAAGAGACGAAAAAGATCTGACTTCACTTACTTCACTTTACTTTATATGGTACGGTTACGGTCGATCAATCAATCAATCAATTAGCCTGTAAAGCGCTATTTCCGCGATGTTCAACAGCGCTCCTTAATGAATTTGAAAACAGATGGGTCTTGAGATCCGCTCTGAACTTCGTAAGTGATGGAGAAGTAGTCAGAGAAGTACGTAGAGAGTTCCAGAGAAAAGAATCAGTAATATTAAAAGAAAGGTGATCAAGAGAATAGTATGATCAACAGTATCAAAAGCCGAGGAAAAGTTAAGAAGAGCAAGAAGAAGAGTAAGATTACTATTGTCGCTAGAAAGAAAGATATCATTGTGTATTTTGAGTAAAGAAGTTTCAGTACTGTGAGCAGGTCTGAAACCAGATTGAGATACAGGTAGCAAGGAGTTAAAGTTTAAATAAGATGACAATTGATTAAAAACTACTTTTTCTATTATTTTAAAGATGAAAGTAGTATTAGTAACATGTCTATAATTAGATAAAGAGGTAGGATCTAAGGATGAGTTTTTAGAATAGGAATAACAATAGAATTATTATAAGAAGTAGGAAATTTGGAAATGGGAAGAGATAAATTAACTAATTTGAGAATAATTGGATAAAATATTGAAGAAAATTTTCTAAGTAAATTAGAAGGAAGTAGATCTAGAGAACAGGTTGTTGACGGCATAGAATTAATAATTTTAGTAAGTTCTAGAAGATTTATTGGAATAAATACAAAAAAAGATTCAGTAGTAAGTTTAGTAAAGTTATGAGAAGAAAAATTATAATTAGATGTTCTTAAAGAAGTAATTTTATTTACAAGAAAGTCATGAAACTGTTGAGCAGAAAAAGATGAGTGAGAGGATTTCTTATGAAGAAGTTTAGATAGAGCAGACCACCTATTTTTAGATGTTGAAGCAGATGTTATAGAATTTCTAAGAAAAAAAGAGAGTGTTTAGAGAATAGTAGAAATTTATAATTAATCAATTCAGATTCATAGATAAAATAAAGAGTTGGATGGATTTAACATATAGGATTTCTCCAGTCTTCTAACACTTTTCTTAGCTACTACACAAGCATAATCGAACCAAGGAGCTTTACGAGAATAGAGCCTATAAGTAAAAGATTTTAGAGGAATAAGCTTATCAAGAATAGAAGTAATGTAGATATTAAAAGCACAAACAAAAGGATCAACGTCAAAAAATAAGGTAGTATCAAAAGTAGTTTCAGTAAGAGATTGAAGAAAGATATCTTTATTAAGAGATGACCAGCATCTTTTAGAAATAGACATAGATGAATTTGAAAGAATGAAAAAGAGAAAAGTGAAAGAGGAAAAATCTTAGTGGTTCCAGATAGAAACTGGTTTCAGACAAAGTTGCATTCTATCGCCGATTTTATTTAATATCATTCTGGATTAAATACTGAAAAAACTGGAAAAGCTCGAGGATCTCAGAAAAAGCATGACTCCGATGGATATGCAGGATGCAGAATATGTCATCTACAACTTGTTCTCTAGATCTACTTTCCTCTAATTTACTTTGAGAATTTTTTCAATATTTTATCCTATCATTCTCAAATTAGTTAATTTATCTCATCCCCCCTCTAAATTTCCAACTTATAAGAATTCTATTATTACTATTTTTAAAAACTCATTTTTAGATCTTTCCTCTTTATTTATTATAATTATTAGACCCGTTACTAATATTATTCTCATCTCTAAAATAATAGAAAGTTTTTTAAAATCAATTATTTTATTTAAACTCAAACTCCTTGCTACCTGTATCTCAATCTAGTTTTAGACCTGATCACAGTACTAAAACTTCTTTGCTCAAAATACATAATAATATTCTTCTCTTTAGTTATAATAGTAATCTTACTCTTCCTCTTGACTTTTCTTCTGCTTTTGATAATTTTGATCATACTATTCTCTTGAGGCTGCTAGATCAATCTTTTAATATTACTGATTCTTGTCTATGTTGGTTTTCTTCTTATTTCTGTAATCGTTTTTTCTGTTGTTCTTAATAATTTTACTTCTAACTCCTCCACTCTTACTTTTGGGGTAGCTCAGGGTTCTATCATTGACCCTATTCTATTTATACTGTATACTTCTGAACTACCTCGTATTATTAATAATTTTTTTTTCACTAGTCAACTATATAGGGATGATTTTCATATTTGTACTTTTTTTCTTCCATCTTATCTCAACAGTGTTCTTCATAATCTATCTCTATGTTTTTCTTCAATTATCGCTTGGTCTGATTCTATGTATCTTAATCTAAATCCTTCTACATTTGAATTAATTTGTTTTTGCTATCCCTTCTATTATCCTACCTGATTTTAAAATTCTTTTTATTTCTCACAAGTTTCGTAGTCTAGACTTTATCTTTGATTCTTGCATGTCTCTTCAGATTATTAGTGTTGCTGCAAGTTTTTACTTTCACCTACGTAGAATAAAAAAAACTTTTGCCTTTTTTTGACGATCCTACTTTTTTCCTTCTTGTTACTTCTTTAGTTTTATCTAGGATTGATTATTGTAACTTGCTCTACTATGGTCTTCCTGATTCTACACTCTATCCTTTGAGTAAAGCCTTTAACTCTAATTGTCGCTTGTGCCCCTTTCCTTTCTCCATATCTTGTTCTCTTGCACCGGCCACCTATAATATATATATAATAATTTTTAAAATTTGCACATTAATGTTTACGTCTCAATGTAAACTATTTACTAAGTACTTATCAGATCTTATTAATTAAACTTAAACGCTCCACTTTACGATCGTCTTCTTATTTTTACTTCTTCTTAAATTGTGTTAAGCACATTTTTGCTTAATCTACATTTGCTTTTTCTGGCCTTTTTCTCTTGAGCTAACTTTCTACCTCCTTCTCTAACTACTTCTCCATCGCTTAAGAAGTTAAGAGCGGATCTCATGACCATCTCATTGAAAAATTCACTGAGATGAACATCGCGGAAATAGCGCTTTATAAACTAAATAATTCATTGAAAAAAAATTTGCATTGTTCTGAATCGTCGTGTGTAGATAAAAAACGAAATTATCCACCGCCAAAAACTTTGGGACGAAATAAGATATGACGATGTTTATATAGCGAAAAAGGCACGATTTAAAATTTTACTATAGAGACAAGCTCGTTAAGTCAATTGAATTAAAGTTTGAATGATTAAAATTAATTTAATTGAAGCTTATCGAATAGGACACGCTCGTTGGATATCTTATCCTGAAATAAACCCACTCTGAAAGTTTCAGCCGGCTAGATGAATTGGATGTGGTTAAAATTTTAAAATAAAACATCAATAAAAGGGGGAAAAGACTTAAGTTTTGATGAAAACTCCTATTGGGGGAAATCATGTATATATATATAGAGTATAACATATTGTTGCAACTCGACTCTCGTAACTACCGGCACCGATGTTATAACTTCAAAGATCTCTAAACACCAATTTTGTAGCTTCAGGTGTCCGTTAATCCGTAGGTTCGAGATTTCCGATAGATGGACACAACTGCTTCAAACGCAAACTTTGTTGAACGTTTGTTTGAATACTAACAATAAGAGAAACATTAAACTAATCCAAGTAACTACATAAATCACATTTATGACTTCGCTTTCTCTGCTGGAAACCTGACCGCAAACCTCATCGCTCGCTCCATCCAGCAGGACCTATAATGTAGCCTGAACGGTCGATCAAAAGATTACGAATATCTTTTTACGATCCTTTATCCAAAGATTACAAATAAAGCATAGATATTAATAATTATACAAATAATTATTGCGCAATTTGATCATTCTAGCGGTTATAACAATATATTGAAAATTTGCCGATTTTAAGATTAGTTAAGAAAATACTCTGAAATAACCCATATCGACTTCAGACTGGTAACTTAACAAAAAAAAACCTACGGCTTAACAAAAACGTAAAGAAATAAGGCAAGCAAAAAATATTTAAGAAACTGTTGTGCAATGTCATTTGGACTTTTTTTGACCATAAACATGTTTGAAAACTTAACAACATTCATAAAAAAATTGGTAGAATTGAGTGTCGGAAAATATTGTAAAAAAGAAAATTGAAACTACAATATGATTAAACGCAGAAACATTTCGAATACGTCCAATATTTATTTTGTTTCAAAATTATTCTAGTTGTACGTCATGTATCTAGGAGTAGCGCTAAACTTTGCATAAGCTTTAATAACTTTGTTGACGGCTTCTAAAAAGTCTTTTTCTGTAGCCATTTTACGTCGAGCTCTGATTGCAAACATACCGGCTTCAGTACAAACACTTCTTATTTCTGCACCTGTATAATCATTTATTTACAAAAAATTCTATTACCACGTTTGAAACACACATACCAGTGCTATTAGGACACAGTCTGGCTAGTAATTCGTATCTAATATCTTTCTCCACGCTCATTGATCGTGCGTGTATTTTGAATATATTAGTTCTGCCCTGAAAATTTAAAAAGATTTAACTATAGCTATTAAACCATAAATGAACTTAAAAAGAAAAAAAGGTTAAAATATATATATATACTTCAAGATCAGGCAGGCCAAATTCAACCTTTCTGTCCAATCTGCCTGGTCTTGTTAGGGCAGGATCTAATGTGTCTGGCCTATTAGTGGCCATCAAAACCTACAAGAAATCGTAACTCCGCTCTAAACATTGTTTAAATAAAAATAAAAACAAAATTCTTGCAAAGTACTTTAATGTTTCCACGAGGATCAAATCCATCAAGTTGATTTATAAGTTCCAACATCGTTCTTTGCACTTCATTATCACCTCCAGCACCATCATCAAATCTAGCGCCACCTATAGCATCTATCTCATCAAAAAAAACGATGCAAGCCTTTTTGGTACGAGCCATTTCGAACAACTCTCTTACCATTCTTGCACCCTGTGCAAACACAGACAAAATAATTTCCCAATTAGAACTAATTAATTTCATTTATTAGAGTGGAAAGCAAAATTATTTTCTAATTCAAATCGTTAAGCGTAAAATGAGACATAATAATCAAACACATTAACATTAGGCAACATATTAATCAAACATTATCAAAAATTTTGATAAAAAAAAAATCAACTTTACCAATAAATCTTGTGAATAAAAATTATGGGATTTACTTTTAAAATTTATTGATTTTTCATGGCTTTCTTATTTTTTCATTATTTTTTAAAATGTACGCCATTTAAAGATAAAGAGCAATGACAAGTCTAAAAAATGAAATATAAATTATAAAGACTAAAATGTAAAAACTGAAAAATAAATTTTACAAATTTCGCATGTTCAATTGATAAAAAATTTTAAGTGAAAAACAGTTGTTTTTAAAAGTTGATATTGTTACAAAAATAACGTTTTTGTGGTTTAAAACTTCTAATTTGATTAATTGACTTCTAGCAATAACTAAATCACTAACCTCTCCGACATATTTTTGAACTAATTCTGAACCTATGACACGAATAAAACAAGCATCTGTTCGATTGGCAACAGCACGTGCACACAATGTTTTACCAGTTCCAGGTGGACCGAAAAGGAGGACGCCTTTCGGAGGTTCTATGCCGAGGTTTACGAATCTTTCAGGCTGCATTAAGAAGATCATTGCGTTTTAATCATCACTTAATCATTACCAATCTTATTTTGTGAAGATCGAATGAATAAAAATTCTTCAGATTAATTTTATTCAAAAATTTGAATGCACCAAGAATGACTTATTGATAAATCATTACCTCTTACGTATGAACCGCTATAAAAAATAAGGTATACATACAGACTAGAAAAAACAACTAACATGCAAGAGAGGTACTTCAACAACTTCTCTTAATTTTTCAATTTGTTCTTTACATCCACCAACATCGCTGTATGTAACGTCAGGCTTTTCTTCTACCTAATGGATAACATCAATCTATAAAATTAAAAAATCACTTCCAACATATGTCATCATCATCATCATCATCATCATAAACGTTTAAAGGCGCGTAAAAACCCAGGACTTAAACCAGAATTCAGTCGTTCAAAGTCCTGGTTAGACCATGTTAGACATTAAATGGCTTTAATTAAAAAAAAAGGCTTTTTTAATGAAAGCCATTTAAAAAATGAAAATTCCTATATGGGTAAGTAAATAAATATAATGAATATGAAACCTCCAAAACCCACTTGGATCCTGGCATAGGTTAAAACCTAGATTAGATAGCAGTCAATGCGTCCACGTCCTGGGAGATGGGCAACAACATAGTAGGAAATGTTAAGACGGGAAAAGGTCGAGGCTGAGTTCAATCACAAGCCCAAATTACTTGGACTGTAAAAACGGTTAACCTGGTAGCACCAGGTGCTGGCTAAAGTTAGAGTGATCAGAGGAAAGCCTCTGTAAAAGGGAACATAGCTGCCTTGCTAAGAAAAAGCTAAAGATGACCCTCCAAATCTGTCAACCAAGGCATGAAACTATAGCCATTGCTGAAACTGGAAAGAATACCCTATCATCAATACAAGTTGATGATAAAAACAGGGAAGGAGGCAGTTTACCTTTATCGACAAAAAACTTCTGCGTTTTAATGTTGATGTTGCTGCCCTACAGAAAACTCGACTTGCAGAGAGTGGTGTTATTAAAGAAGCCAATTATACAATCTCTTGGCAGGGAATGTCATTGAATCAACCTAATCAGTACGGTGTCGGCTTGGCAGTAAGGCATACGCTTTTTAGTTGTACCAAACCGCCTGCTGCAGGCTCGGAAAGATTGCTTACCCTTGGCTGTCGACGTCTTCTGGCACAGTCAACGTTCTCAGTGCATACGCTCCAACCCTCTACTCTGCTCTTAAGAAGATAGACCAATTTTACCAGGATTAGGATAAGGCGATATCAAGAATACCTCAAAATGAAAGCCTCGATCTTCTTGATCATTTCAATGCAAGGTTGGGTGTAAATCTGGAAGCCTGACCAGTATGTCTAAGAAACTTTGGAATCGGAGAGAAAAAAATGAAAACGATCAGAGACTGCTAGAGGCTTTAAATTACCACGGACTGTGCATGATAAACACAATCTTTCAGTGCAAGAAAATTCATCAGATATCATAAAGACACCCACCTCGCGCAAGTGAGATCAACCGAACCTCGTCATCACCAAAAGGGCAAATATTAGTAGCGTCTTATTTCATTCATTCATTTCATTTTCAAAGTTTATTCATAATCAACAACATATCAAACAAGTGAATGAAAGTTATGAAGTTGAATATGCGGAGACTGAATAAGGCTGTATGTCTTGTGGTGGTCACCGCAGATACCACGGACTGTGGTATTCTTATATGAATAGTTAATGAAATAAAATAAGAAAAATAACTGAGGCAAAAAGATAACTGAAGATAAATAAATAAACGTTCGTGCATATAAATTTATAAATGTCTGCTCAGTACATATGTAAACATACAAATGTTTAATCATTCATGAAAACCATTCATCCGCTCCATTTGTTCTCACGTATTCATAATATAGTATTAGGTGGTGGAGTCGAGATCCAGTGTCAATAAAAAAAGCATTACTTGAAATGTTATAGGTTTATAATGGCTTTTTAATGGGGAAGTACAAGTTCAGTCTATATTTTAGGACCAGCTATTCTTATGCTTGTCTGGATTAATTTGAGGCGGTGGTTGTAGATTGGATGGAGTTGCTTAATGTGTAGAAGTTAGGTGGAAGAAGATTGCTGATAAATTTAAAAACGAATAAAGCAGAGCAGTAAAGGTAGATGAAGTTAAGTGGTAAAATATTTTTTTGCTAGGAAGAAAGGTTTAGTATGAGAACAAGGTTTGAGGTTAAAAATTAAATGTATTGATCTTTTTTGGGAGAGTATTAAATTATTTAAACGACTTTTTGGACTAGTTCCCCATAGTGTGATGCAGTATGTTATATAAGGGTAAATGTAATATATAATAAAGCGTGTGTATAGCAGAAAGAGAGAGTTTATATTTGATTTTTTAGAAGACGCCAATGAGTTTGTTGATATTGTCAGAGGTAGTTTGTAGGTAAGAATTCCAGGAGATTTTCTGTGACTGTGATTCCAAGGAATTTGGTTGACAGGGTGCGGTTTATAGAAACGCCATTAATTAATTAATAGGTTTAAGTTAGGAGCTTGGTTGATAAGTATTTTGGGGCCAAAGATAATGTGAGCACATTTCAAATAATTTATGATTAGTTTGTTGTTGGATAACCAATTAGAGTAATTTAGGAGTTCGAGAGCAATCATGCTCTGGTGGTTAACAGGCGTCTTAAGCCAAAAGGTTGCATTATTCTAAAAGGAAGGGACGCCCACGCATTAATACTAAATGTATTAATAATCCAGAAAAAAACAGCAGTTCATCAGAGGTTTGGCGGACGTCTTTAGTGGGAGTTGTAATATCGTGACTAACATCGCTCTCGACTCCATCTTAAAGCTATTTGCTATGGTGGAGTTGGACAACCTGATTACTGAAAAAGTGCTCGGTAAAGCCATCGACCGTCTTACCTGTAGGAAAGAATCCCTCCGAAGATCTTATAGAAAAGTAGAGGGGCTAATGCACGAGTTGCTCTGTCTTTGCTGGAAGCAGGGTCACAGTCTTCAAGATATGAGAGACGTCAACATCATCACGTTGTGCAAAAACAAAGGCGACATGGCGAATGCGATAGCTACCGAGAAATCCTATCGCGTTGTCGGTAAAGTGTTTGCTCATGTTGCGGTTCTCACTGAGGCGTCTTAGGTGGCTCGGCCATATAATAAGGATGGATGGTCGTATCTTCAAAAATCCCCGGTACGGTGAATTGGTCGAGGAATGTAGAACAACAAGGCGTCCAAGGCTTCGGTTCTATGACATTTGTAAGAGAAATATAAAAAGCTGCTCCATCGATTTCAGATCTTGGAAAAACTTAGCCGTCGGTCAAATAGGGTTTATTGCGTGCTGAAAATGTTGAAAAAACCGGATTGCTGCTATGGGAAGATCTAGGCGGAATAATCGCCTAATCAACAGCAGCAGCCGACGACCATTATATGTGGTAGAGATTTTCATTCCAGAATTGGATATAGTCGGCGGTGCAGATCCACTAACTTTGGTTATAGTTTCACTATCGTCTCTCAAGATGGGAAGATGCCGATAAAAAATATAAATACATATATATACATATATTCAATTCAATTCAATTTATTCAGCAAAAAGCATGGAGACACAGAAGCTCAAACGAGCTTGTACGGCCACCCAATCCAAACCAAATAAAAACATAGACCTACATGAAAATAATAAATTAAATGAAAATAAAATCGTATAGCTAGCCAATGAAAACAAGTTAAATTTAACCAAAAATGAACAGAAATTACTTAGAACAAAAATGATCAGCAAAATTTATCAAGTTAAACAAAACAATTGAATTCATATTAAAAGTTTTTCCTAATAAAACAACTTAAATAATTGAAATAATTAAATCATATCCTGTAAAAAAAAGTTGTTCCTAATTAAGTCAAAAATCGATTTTTTAAATAGCCCATAGATAGATACTTGTGAAACTAATCACGGTAATTTTGACCACAGTTTTAAACCAAAAACTGAAGATGAAAATAAAACAGTTCGAGGAAAAATACAATTGCATAAGGGAGTGTGCCGAGTTGTTCTTTTGCAATATTCAGAAGATTTAATTAAATATGAATTAAACATAACAATTTTCTTCTTAACTATAGCACTAAACAAAAATAATAATAATCTGAGAACGTTCAGTTTAGGAATAGACAAAAAATTAGACAACAATAAATAATCTGAAACATGATCATCATATTTTTTCAGGTCATAAATAAGAATAAAAAAGTATAAACATCTATCTAAGATAATAATATGAGACTTAATGTAACGACCCCAAACTACAATACAATAAGTGAAATAAGGATAAATAAGAGAATAGTATAAATTAAGTAATACACTTTTCGGTAAGAGAATTTTAGTCTATAGATTATTCCTAGATTTTTAGATAAATTGTTGGATATGCTAATTGTTGCTCTTTCCAACTTAGATTGCTTGAGATTGTAACACCTAGAAAGACTAATTTGTCCAATCGACCTACTAAATTGTTATTGTAGAAAATAAAGAATGTTAGTAAATTGGTGACAATTTTAGGACCAAAAAGAATCGCAAAAGTTTTTTTTTGATAAATTAATTTGCAGTTTATTATTTATCATCCACAAGTGAACTCTTGCTAGCTCTAGTTAAGAATACATTCAACTTCGGCTATGGAATCGCCAGCCGCCAAAATGGTAGTGTTATTCGCATACATAATATACTTTACAGCATTTTCTTTTCAATTCTTCTCCATTCTGTGCCAGCATAGACCGGACGCATTGCTTGTCCTATTCCTGAAAAAGTCACAAGCCCTCTTGACGTCATGATGTCCCTGAGGGATTTCTTTGATGTCGACCTGAGTGACCTGGGGCCTCTCACTCCTCTAGCGTAGAGTGTAGATCTCCCGATACTCGAAAGCTTCGGGAAATCCCATATGATTTTTTATTTTTATTGGTACTCATACTAGGTTTAGGAATCCATACAACTAGATTGTCAAGTAAAGATTTTACCTCCAACTCACCCTCACCACTTTACCCGGGCTTGGGACCGGCATTTATGAGGAGAAGAATCATTCTGATTGACATGCTTCTATCTTCTAACAACAGCATTGATACATGGCGGGGATATACGGACACTGGGCGGTTAAGCATCCGTGGCTGAGCGCCTTAAAACGTACATGATATATATATATATATACATATATACATATATAATACATATATATAATTAGGTATAAGGCCATTACGTAAACAATTATCATTAAATTCAATCGCTGCATTATCATTTATTAATAAAAATAAAATTAATATATATATTTATATATATATATATATATATATACAAATCTAAATTGGACAAGCCTGCATCATGGTCACTGTTGGATCAATCTTTGGTGGCAATGGAATATGAATCTGGTATTTGTTGCGATCGACACTATTGGACAAAAATTAATTAAATATTAAATATAACATTAATCAAGTATTAAATATAATTATAATAAAAATAATAATGTCATTTATTAAAAAAAGTTGAGCATTGGAAGATCAAATTGGTTTATGTCGTGTATGCATATAGTAGGTTATTGAGGTACGCTGGGGAATGTGCAGAATGGAGTTTGATGATAGTGACAGAAATTTTGAAAACAATGCAATAACGAAAAATAGCCAATACAGTTTAGAAAATTTGATGAAGTCGGTGAAGTCAATGTTGAGTTTGTGTTTTTGCGATATGCCAAACATTATTGAATTGCGAAAAATCAAATTTGGACAATACAACACTGTGAAAATTGTGCTAAATTACTTGTAATTGTGCTAAATTACTGACAAACTCAGTAGATAAGCACGTCTGATATGTCGTGTTTTTCTTATGTAATAATTACAAGTTCTTGTTATTAATGTGAGTAGAAAAAGCAAGCTTTTTATCTGTAAATCAAAGGTTTTGAACATATTTGATAAAAGGACCAAAGCGAAACCTGAATTGAAATCAAGTTATGTAAAGCCTAGAAAACAGTAGTAGACATGTGACGCAATTTATTCAGAAATCGTTTTGATATATACGATAAATCGTTTTCGTATATACGATGACCAGCGGCGTTGTTCTTTGTCCCATCTACCGTCGTTTTTATAGCAAAATGTATATAAGATGAAATGAAATCTTCATTTTGAAAATATAGAGGTACTCCCTATTTACGACTTTGAAAATGTCATAGAAATCAGGCCTTAAAAGGGAGGGGTCTTAAATGGGAAAAAAGCATATTTATATACATTATTTTTTATTAGTAAATGCACACTGCATTGTATTATATTCATACAAAATATAATTTAAAAAACCTATGTTGTATTGTTAAACCAAAAATTTAATTTATTTTGGGAAAAAATGAAATGGAGTTTGCACAACTGTTGACTTCTTTTGAAGATGTTTAGTTTGAATTTGATCATGATAATTTTCCAAAATTTCTGGAATGGCTTGAAATTCATGAGTCAGTGAAAAATGAATCAACTGTGTAGTACTTTTAGCAGAAACAGAAAAAGAAATCATTGGCTCAATTATTTCCTCAGTTCTATCTTTTTGTGACATTTAAAAATATCTAGATCTAACAAAGTTATAAAACTAATAAAATTATTTAAGAAATGAAAACAGTTTAGCTGAACTGTTTGATTAAGCTTGGCAGGAATTGCTAATTAACTGGTGGCGTTGGTGATAGTATTAATAAAAATTTCACGTTTGTTTGTTGTTATCTTGAAACAGTTCTAGTTCTTGGTCCTGGGCATGACATAAAACTGCATCCACGCTGCCTTGCGTGCTTTTGAGCAAAAGGCTAGGCCCACCCCGCTTATAACTGGTGTTATAACCAAAATCCCTAAATTTCATCCATTTCACAAGAACTTTAGCCGTAACAGCGCTCAAACATCTTCCATCCGCGTTCAGCTTAACCCCTAAATAAAAAGCTTTCCACTCTTTCAATACCACCACTCAACCCCGTCCTTGCGTCCGTCCTATTAAACACCATGAACACATTTCTTACATTTGAACGTGCCTTCCACCTTTTTCAGTGCCCCCCTCACACCACTACATCTCTTATGCACCCACTTCTGACATCCTATGCACAACACCAAGTTAGCCTTCACTCTCCAGTCACATACCCCACAGGGGTCTATTTTACTTATCACACGTTCCCCACCTTCGTCTTACTAATATTAATAATATTAGTAATATTAGTCTTAATAATAATATTTTAACCCTTTCTTTTCGATAACACTTTTCCATCTGTCAAATTTCAACTGCAATTATTCCATGCTATCAGCCATCAGGACTAAATCATCTGCATACAAAATCTCAAATAACAACCCCTCCATTATGTTTCCACACACAACATCCATCAAAATTGCAAACAAAAACGGTGATAACACTGATCCTTGATGCACTCCTACCTTAACACTAAAAGCGTCCGACATCCCCCTTCCGACCCTCACCTTTGTCTTCGCCCCTTCATACAGCTGCATCACAGCTTTAACAAGTCTCTCATTCACTCCTTACTTCCTCAACGCCCATTCAATGACCTTCCTCGGTACTCGATCAAAAGCCTTTTCTAGATCCACAAAACACATGTCCAATCTTCGTTTCTTTTTTCTATAATTTTCCTGCAACATTCTACGTACTTAGACTTAGTATGGTACTTGGTATGGCTCTATGGTACTTAGACTTGGAACGCTCAATGTTGGATCACTGACTGGCCGCAGCATGGAAATCGCAGAAATGCTCGAGCGTAGAAGGACTGACATCTGCTGCCTTCAGGAAACCCGATGGAAATCAAATGGTGTCTATCATGTCAACTCAGACAAAGAAAAATATAAACTATTCTGGAATGGTCAAAAGACGGCCAAAAATGGTGTTGGAATTTTTGTCAGAGAACTGCTAGCCCAAGAAGTACTGGATATTAAAAAGATTAATTCACGTCTCATGTGGATCAAGCTTCGCCTAGAAAAGCAAACAATGATTATTTTTTCTGCATAGGCACCACAGACAGGCGAATCAGAAGAGATGAAAAATGACTTCTGGGCTGCATTCTCTGACTCCATATCAACATTACCAAAATCTGAAACAATCCTGATTGGAGGCGATCTCAATGGCCACGTTGAAGAGAAAACAGATGGTTTTGACAACGTACATGGCGGTTTTGGCTATGGAAAACGGAATGAACATGGCAACCGCATCCTTGAGTTTGCTGAAAGTCACGGGTTTTGTTTACTGAACACATACTTTAGAAAGAGGTTGGAACATCTCATAACATACAAAAGTGGACCATCAGCCACGCAAATTGATTTCTTCGCTGTCAAGCAACCACACCGATGGCTGTTCAAAAACGTCAAAGTTATACCTGGCGAATCATGCGTCGTCCAACATAGACTCCTTGTGGCAGACCTGGTTGTCGAACTGTCAAAACATAAGTCTAAACAAATGCCTCGGAGAATCAAAACGTGGAAGCTGAAAAGCAATATTCATCGAGAAAAATTTCAACAGATTGTCACCCTACAGTTAGACCACCAATCGCAAGCCAGTACAGATTGGAGTACATACAAAACCGTTTTAATGAACGCTGCAACTACAGTTTGTGGGAAAACTGGTACAAAACGTCAGCATGAACTTGGTGGTGGAATGACAGTGTACAAAATGCAATAGCTGAAAAGAAAGTTGCATACAAGCAATGGCAAAAATCAAAGTCTGTTGATGACCATAAAATTTTTCGTGAGAAGAACAACTATGAAAGACGTCAAGTTGCACTGGCTCGGACAGATCAGTGCAGAGAGTGGCTCACTAAAAGCAAAAGTAAATAAATGAAATCTCTGTATCGTATAGCAAAACAAGCAAAGCGTACGAAAAAAGACATAGTTGGTGCCTCATGTATCAAAAACGACAAAAATGAGATGGTTCTTGAACAAGATGAGATCAAGCTACAGTGGAGAGAATACTTCAACCGTCTGTTAAACGAACTAAATCCCATCAATGTTAACTGACGCTCCACTCATCGAAGGTCCGATTTATGACATCACTGTAAAGGAGCTTACAGAAGCTCTGAAAGCTATGAAGGTTGGAAAGGCAGCAGGGCCCTCGGGACTCACAAATGACATTATCAAAGCATCTGGTACTGCAGGTATCCAAACGTTACTACAACTTTGCCGTGAAATCTGGAGAAATTGCTCAATGCCGACTGAATGGAACTATAGCATGACAGTTCCGCTATACAAAGGCAAAGGTGATCCATTTTAACTGTTCATCATATCGGGGTATACGTTTAATAGAACACTCCTTGAAAATTGTCGAGAAAATCATTGAGAGAAGATTAACGTCGTGCATCACAATTATCAATTAGGTTTCCTAGCGGGGAAATCAACAATTGATGCAATTCGCATCCTTCGGCAACTGCAAGAGAAGTACCTCGCAAAACATCAACAACTATCACACATTTTTGTAGACATTGAAGAAGCATTTGATCGAGTTCCCCGTGAAGAAATCAGGTGATGTCTACGTCGACAACTCATTCCAGAATACCTTTTTCGACATGTGATGGAAATGTATACGAATACTAAGACTCTTGTCAGCACAACAGTTGGAAACACAGATGCATTTGACATCGGCGTTGGAATTCACCAGGGCTTGATTCTCATTCCACTGTTATTTATAACTGTGATGGAAGAAATCACAAAACCGATACGCCTTAGTGACATTTGGAATCTAATATATGCTGATGATATCGTTTTAACAGCCACGTCTGAGCCGAATGCAGCACAGATGTTTGAAGATTGGAACACCAGACTCACCGATCATGGTTTCAAAGTCAACATCAACAAAACCAAAGCAATGAATACTGGTGAACACATCCAATCCACAGCTACTGGATGATGGCCCTGTTCAGTTTGTAAAGCTGGTGTAGGTAACAATTCAATCAAGTGTCAGCGGTGTAACCAGTGGTGTCACAAACGTTGTTCAAACATAATTGGTACTTTATCTAAAATGTCCAATTTTGTTTGTCCTGCTTGCATCAATCCAAAACAACAAATTCAAAACAGCAATGTTTTTGAAGCTATTAAGGTAGAGAAAGTCACATCGTTTCAATATCTAGGGGATGTTCTGGATTGTACTGGAACTGCTGAAGCTGCCGTTCGAGCACGCATACGTGCAGCCTGGAATAAATGGCATCTCCTTGCCTCTATATTGATGCGGCGTGACATCCCACTACCACTACGATCAAGACTATAAATCTGTGATACGTCCGGTGTTATTATATGGTGCAGAAACATGGCCAATGACAACCAAACTGGAACAACAACTTCAACGAACCGACATGAAAATGCTCCGATGGATGCATCGAATTAGTCTGAAAGACAACATCAAATCTACCGAAATACTGGATCGTGCTTGTTTAGATGATATATAGGACGAATGCCTGCAACACCGAATGCCGGCAACACCGAATGCCGGCAACACCGTCTGCGGTGGTTTGGTCATGTCAAACGAAGTGGAAACAGTGCCATAACTTCTCTTGCAGATGTTGAAGTACCTAGCACACGTCCCAAAGGCCGTCCAAAGAAGTCCTGGTCGCAAACAATCGAGCAAGACAGGAAAGCTCTAAGGAAATGGATACAGCTGATCGTTTAATTTGGCGCAAAAAGTTGATGGCAAAGAAAACAACGTCCTACCTCGGGGAACCGAGACTCTGGACGCAAAACGAAGATTGATTGATTTCTATCTTTTTGTGGATATCCTTCAGGCTGTGTGAATATCCAAGTTATTCAATAGTCTATTCCAAGATTTAACATCTCAATGCCCTGAAAACACTTGGGTTTGGCACTTTTTTCTATGCTTCCTATGCACATGCCTTTAATTTTTCTCATGTGACACTTGCGCACAGTAAAACAGTGTTTTGATGTTTTAATGCCAGCTACGTCATCCCCTTTAACAATCATTGATTTGGCTGGCAACGCTCGAAAAAATGTCCGGTTTTGTCAGCATTAAAAATTTTTTCAGGAGCATAGCTTTCACAAATGACTGGCATTTTTTGTCCAATCCTCTATTGTTTCCTCAGAAACCTGTGCTCTGTCTTCGGAAAGAACAGACGAATGAATGTTGTGACGTTTCATCCACTTATACAGCCATCCGTTTGATGCCGTAAATTCATTGTGTTTTTGGTTGTTGGTAGCGTCTTTATTATTGACATGGATCTTGTTGATATAAATTTTTATCTTCGTACTTTGCATTCTAGATTTTGTTGAAAATTCCTATTTCTGTAATGAATGGAAGTATTATATTGGTGATTTTTTGGTCTTAGAAAAAATTTTGAACGTCTTTTGGAAATAGATATTTTCTTACAAGTTGGTCATATGCAACAGTCTGATATTGCATTCGTTACAGTTTAGAGATGGCTTTTTGTTGAGAAACCAAGATGTGCTAAATTAGTATGTCCTATTTTTGTTTGGAAAATTCTGTCCATCAATAAATTTTTTGTTTGCCTTTTTGTTAATTTTGTTGTGGCTAGATAAATGGAATTGATGTATTCATATCAATGTAAATGCCATTTTTTGGTGACGTAATGTTTTACAGGTTGTTTACTATCGTTGTATGGTAGCAGTATGTTGGAAATTGAGAATGAGTAGGCCAATGTAGCTGCTTTATTTGTTTGCTCATTTCCTTCAACGCCTATATGGCTTGGTATCCATTGTTATTATTAAATTGTTACTTTCAATTAGGATGTTGTGTATTTTTGTTTGAATCAGGTTTATCAGAGGATGTTCTTGTTTATAATTTTGTATCGCTTCTAGACTTGATAATGAATCATAAAATATTATGAATTTGTTATCCTTACTTTATATTACATATGGCTATCAATTCTGTGAAAATAAACGTTGGTTCAGGTAGATGTTGCATGAGTGTAACTTTATGATTGTTGATTGCTGCTGCTGTCTTTAAATTGTTGATTTTTGATCCATCGGTATATATTTGTGTAGTTTGAATATTTATGAATTATTTTTTTAACGTAACTTTTACTATAATAGAATATATAATACGGTTATATGATTGAATATAATAAAAGAAAATAACAAAAACAGTTGAAAATGGTGAAAAAAATCCTACCCAACTCTCATGCCTTCCTCGATGTCAGTGGGGGCAACATGATCACTTAAGTCAACAACAAACTTTGCAAACTGTTTAACATTTATTATATATTTTGGATCATCTGAATCTGCATTTATAATTTTTGTGCAACGTGCCACTTGCAACGGCTGTTCACCTTTATAAGCAATAAAATTAAAATTATTGTGTTATTCTCTTTTGTAACAATCATTAAAAAATAGTTTTTTCTATTCAGAAATCACTCAAAAATTCACATTATGAGTTAATTTGGCAACTCGATAATATAATCAAATTAAAATATGAGCGAGGAGCAACATTAGCAAGTATTTCTGTTTATGAACTTGTTCTATAATATTTGCATATAATTTTATACCCATTTTAAACAATTGTAATTTTTTAGGATAATAAAATACACAATTTGTAAGAATTGGAACTGCCAAATTTTCTGGCAGTTAAATTTTAGAATATCTTACTATAACATTATATATAGCTATTATTATTATATAGAACTATAACATGTAGCATATAAAAGTTAGTACTATAACGTTTTCTAAAGTAAATTAATAGTTAGTGAGTTAGTCCAGTCTGTATAAGCCACTGTTGTTGCACGATGGCTATGTTTGAATACTGTTTGATGAAATGCAAAAACTATCTTATGCTTTATGCATATAATAATGCAGTGTTGGTTAGTACTTAAAAGTGTATGTGTACGTCGTTCGATGGAGATGTGCAGCGTTTGCAGCAAAAAATTTAACTGTAACTAAATAAAGAATAAAATGTAAAGTTGTGCGGTTGTCAAAACTGGTTTACATACCAAAAATGTTACAAATAATAATATTATTAGCTATTTTTAATAATACAAGTGCTCGCCAATTAATTCAGCATTTAACTGCTAAATAAAGCATTGAAACTGTCATAAAAGTTCATCACGCTAAAATTAAATGTTAAAAAAAAATTTTTAAAATATAAATGGAAAATGTCAACTTTGTAAAGTTTGTTTGTCAGCTGCAAGGTCCCAGTGTGCAGGGGGAGCTAATCCAGTGTCTGACTCTTTGATTCCTGTCAATTCATTAACTCTTTTTAAAATCCCTTGGATATCATCTTCTGTACTCTTTATTGACTTGTAATACATGCCAACCCCCTTTAAAATTAACACAAAATTAACATGCGTATCGATAAAAAAAAAAGAATACTTACATATGTCTTCAACAAAGCAATATCACCTTCATCAAGCACTGAAAAAAATTATTTAACAATCTTCATCAGTGAATAAATAATGACTAATTTAAAAGTTGAGATTCTTGGAACACATTTCAATTATAAATTTTTGGTTATGTAATGACAACATTCACATCTGAGTTTATAACTCGAAACCAACTTGCATAAAGTTAATTAAATCTGGTTGTTTTTATACAATACGTTTTGTTTTTTATTGTTTGAAAAATAGTGCTTAAATATTTTTAACAAATTTTTATAAATGTTATAAAAAATTAATGACAAAATTATTTACACGTTTATAATTTTTTGTGCTTTTATTGCAGTGCTGTTAATTTAGATGGATTTAAATATATATTAACTAAAAAAAGAATCATATTAGATAGCATGATCCAACATGGAAATTATTTTTTCTTAAATGTGAAACTAAACTGCAAGGAAATTTTTTTGGGCTGTAAAAAAATGAACTAGTGGACTACAGTTTACTAGACTCTGATCTACATTATTATTGACAATCATAATTTTTATATGATTTTCAAAGCAGCAACTGTACTTGATTCACCATTAAACTTTCAAACAAGTCAACGACATTTTTACACCAGACATTTGTAATATAAATTTATTGCAGCTTAATAATATACATCAAATGTTGTGTAACAAGTAGCAATGTACACGACAAAAAAATATAATTATACCATGATAGCTGACAGTTAAACTTGAAAGATAAAAAATCCTACATAACGAAATTTCGAATATAACAAATTTGTTCCTGGAACTATCAAATTTGTTACCCGAAGGTCCAACTGTACTTTTTTAATCATCATGATAATCAAATTTAACACATTAACAATCATATTGATCAAAAAAAACCTTGAATTGGTTTATCATCTTCATTGTTATCATCAACAGTTTTCCTCTGATCTTTGCCTAGATAGTCTTTCATTATGGAATAAACTAATATTGAAAATTTTTAGTCAATTAATCAATGAAAAATATTAATGTAGATGATTTTACAAAATAAAAAAAAGAAATAAATAAATTTGTATGTTCATAACAATCATTTACATTATAATTTCTAAATCCAACAATGCAAAATAATATTAAATATACTAAGAAACCAGGGAGGTAGCTGCTGAGGTAAAATGAAATAAGAAAATAAAAAAAGGTGAGACAACAGGAGTTGAACTCAAAAGATGCAAAAAGAGGGTGCCCATTATTGTAAAGCAAATGAATGCAAACCACTCGGTCAAAGTTCCTAAGAAAGAGTATGCAAAATTATTTAGAATCTATGTAGGCGTCACTTTACACTTAAGTGGTTTAGTATAGTGACAGAAATGCAAAACATTCCAATTGATGAAACAATACCCAAGCATATGACAGATAACTTCTTTATTCTTTATTTAATAGATATCAATACAATAATTAGGTGCATGAAGTTAGTTAAGAATTTTACAGCCAAGGATTTTAATATTAGCATTACATAAAAAAAAAACTCAAGTAACTTGTAAATTAACAATCAATAAAAATGCTAAAATTTAATGAATCTATTTAAAAAAGGATCTATTTTTTCAAAATGAACATTATTCATTTTATTTTTATTGTTTTCAGATATTCAGGCAGAGCAACAAAAATTTTTACATATTTTTTTATATAAATATAAAATAAACGTTTTGCTATATTCGTTAGGTGGTGAAATGACAGTGTACAAAATACAATAGCTGAAAAGAATGCTGCATACAAGCAAAAGCAAAAATCAAAGTCTGTTGATGACCATAAAATTTTTCTTGAGAACAGCTATGCAAGACGTCAAGTCGCACTGGCTTGGACAGATCAGTGCAGAGAGTGGCTCACTAAAAGCAAAGGTGTGAACAAAATGAAATTTCTGTATCATATAGCAAAACAAGCAAAGCATACGAAAAAAGATATAGTTGGTTCCTCATGTATCAAAAACGACAAAAATGAGATGGTCCTTGAACAAGGTGAGATCAAGCTACAGTGAAGAAAATACTTCAATCGTCTGTTAAATGAAACAAACCCATCAATGTCAACTTTGACACTCCCCCATCAAAGGTCCAATTCCAGACATCACTGTAGAGGAGCTTACAGAAGCTCTGAAAGCTATGAAGGATGGAAAGGCAGTAGGGCCCTCTGGACTCACAAATGGCATTATCAAAGCATCTGGTACTGCAGGTATCCAAACATCCAAACGTTACTACAACTTTGCCATGAAATCTGGAGAAATTGCTCAATGCTGACTGAATGGAACTATAGCATGACAGTTCCGCTATACAAAGGCAAAGGTGATCCATTGAACTGTTCATCATATCTGGGTATACGTCTGTTAGAACACTCCCTAAAAATCGTCGAGAAAATCATTGAGAGAAGATTAACGTCGTGCATCAAAAACAGAAATGATCAATTTGGTTTCCTAGCGGGGAAATCAACAATTGATGCAATTCACATCCTTCGGCAACTGCAAGAGAAGTACCTCGCAAAGCAACATCAGTTTGTAAAGCTGGTGTAGGTAACAATTCAATCAAGTTTCAGCAGTGCAACCAGTGGTGTCACAAACGTTGTTCAAAAATAATTGGTACTTAATCTAAAGTGTCCAATTTTGTTTGTCCTGCTTGCATCAATCCACAACAACAAATTCAAAATAGCAATGTTTTTGAAGCCATTAAGATAGAGAAAATCACATCGTTTCAATATCTAGGGGATGTTCTGGATTGTACTGGAACAGCTGAAGCTGCTGTTCATAGCCTAAAGTATGGGTTGGCAAACTACAGTCATTTTATACCATTTTAAGCGGCCAAACTTGGGTATAGAAACTTGAGGCAAAGGCAAATTTAAGAAATATTTATTTAAAAGCACTGATTGTATATATAGTCGACAATCAGGAAAACAATATCATTCTTAGTGTCACTATTACAAGTCATTCAATAATTTCCTAGTTAAATACTGAATATTACTATTTCTTAAGCTTTTTAAAGTTAAAACTGCATATCAATAAAATATAATTTTTCTATATTTAATATTAATATATGAAACTTCAAATTTATCCAAAATGTGCATGTAGAAATCTCATATTTAGTTGCTTTAAATGAAGCATTGGAGCTGTCTGCATATTTATAAAAAAATCAGTTATTTTTTTATACTGATAACAAATTTCTAAACTTTCTAGGTTTCTAATATGTTATGTTTGAACAAACAAGTATTCAACCTCCCACAGAGAAGAAAGTGAAGTGAGAACGCTTGAATCAACTCATGAGAGGTAGTGATAGTCCAGTGATATAGATGCAATGATCAAAATATCAAATTTACTTTTATGTGAAGATGATTTTAATGATTTAGGAGAGGGTAGGTTCTTTCATACCAACCTTTTAAAGAATGGTAGCATGACAATGACATTGAAACTCATTCTCAAATGGACTTGCCTAATTAGTGCATCATCATTGATATATCACTCTATTATTATATATAGAACTGGGTTAATTTTATTTCAAAAGTATTCTTTAAAAGGTTGATAAATGATGTTATCTAGACTTAGGAATTTTATGTTTAGAATCTTTAGAACTTCATCTACTCTTATAGTATAGATAATAAGGATGGGGAAGGATTGAAATACCTAAATTATTAAGTCACCATCAATTTAGTAATATTTGATTATCATTATATTGTGTAAAAATAAATTAACGAGTTCAGGTTGTTGGGATAAATTTCAAATTCGAAGCATGTTGCTTTCTAATTGTGATAATAGTGCATAGGCTTGTCAATTACGTTAGTCTACGATTAAATGTTGCTGCTGTAGAACGTCTGATCATTTTATATCTATCACATCAGTGTAAAACTGTAAATTTATATATATAATAATAATATTCTAAGCAACGTTTAGCTTCGACAAAGAAAACAAATATGCCGTGGTTATGTTATCGTTATTTAACGCGGACGTAGCCTCATGCTTATACTTCAATAAATCTTATGTCATTCTTATAAAAGTCTTATATCATTAAATCAATAATCAAAAAAACTAACACTAAGCAAAAGAAGAGACGTAAACGGTTAACTTATTTAATTAGCCTTTCTAAACAGTGAAATTACGTTAAGTTATCACCGAAAAGGCTATTTTTGCTATGTCATTCAAATCTGATGTAGTTATGGAAAGACAAAATAATTTGTTACAAAAAAATGTTTTTAATTTTTAAAACAATCAGAATCTGATTAACGAAAAAACCGTTACAGCATGCAAGTCAATTATATAAAATGATAGCAAAAAATAAATAACAGAAACAAAATGTTGAAGCATGAAAAATATGGAAAAAAGTAATTGTTTAAAAAGACAAATAAACAAATAACTTATTACTAGACTAGTTATTATTTTTGTAAAAGCATTTTCTCTGGTAGCATTTAAAATACTACAAAAGGTGACAGTGACATAGAAGATATTTACAAAAATGACATATTATTAAAAACAAATATTACTGATTTAATGGAAATAGAACAAATTGATGCTGATAATTCTGATGATATTCCTTTTTTCTCCCGCATAAACGATGTGGTAATCACAATTTGAATCTGGTAGCAAGAGTAGATGATCTGAAAGCAAGAGAAAATCAGCAAAACAAAAAGCTCTATGATAGAACCATAGCAAAGGTGACATCACTGTCAAATTCGAAGTACTAAAAATGCTGATATTGTAAAAAACATTACTGGTTCTACATTTATTAAACCAAATGTTACAAGGTGGTGTTCAAAATTTTATGCAGTAGAAAGAGTTGTTGACATAGGATTCGACAAAACTTTTAGTTGTCAGAAAGAATTAAGACAAGCTTTATTTGCAGAAAATATATTTAGTTTTTTGAAATTTTTTCTCCAAGCCATCAAACCAATAGTAACTGCAAATAAAGCTGTCCAACCTTTATTGCAAGCACTGACTGATGGTATAGAAAAAAGTTTTGGGCAAATTTTAAAAAATGATGAGTATCCGTTTGCCTCTATGCTAATTCCACAATTTGAAACAAACATTCTAACCTGTGAAAATCTATCTATCTATCTTCGTTTTGCGTCCAGAGTCTCGGTTCCCCGAGGTAGGAAGTTGTTTTCTTTGCCATCAACTTTTTGCGCCAAATTAGACGATCAGTTGTATCCATTTCATTTAAACTTAGAACTTTCATGTCTTGTTCGATTGTTTGAGACCAGGACTTTTTTGGACGGTCTTTGGGACGTGTGCAAGGTACTTCAACATCTGCAAGAGAAGTTATGGCACTGTTTTCACTTCGTTTGACATGACCAAACCACCGCAGACGATGTTGCCGGCATTCGTCTTTTATATCATCTAAACCAGCACGACGCAAGATTTCGATAGATTTGATGTGGTCCTTCGGACTAATTCGTTGCATCCATCGGAGCATTTTCATGTCAGCTCGTTGAAGTTGTTGTTCTAGTTTTGTTGTCATTGGCCATGTTTCTGCACCATATAATAAGACAGGACGTATCACAGATTTATAGTCTTGATCGTAGTTGTGGTGGGATGTCACGCCGCATCATATAGAGACGAGGAGATGCCATTTATTCCAGGCTGCACGTATGCGTGAAAACAAAAAGAATTCTCTTAAAGGAAAATTATTGACTTATATGAAAAATATACACAAAAAAATTGAACAATCAAGTAATAGTTTTTTTTAATGCAATTGATAAATAGATATTCAAATTAACTTTTGTTTATTAATGATTTGATGTCACACATTGAAAATATTTTTTCATAGATGGATATTTATTTACATTACACGCAAATTGCAAACAAGTGAGTCCTGTGCCTTCGTCTTCTAAAGAACGCGAACCTTAGCAAATAAATAGTGACAATTTGTATGATTACCTGGAAAATAATCAAAATTTTTCGGATTATGTGTTGGCTGATGAACTCAACAGTTACTTGGCTAAGAATAT